TAGGTATTTGGGGTATTATAAGTATAAATATAACTAATATTTTTAGGTATATATATGTATTCGGGTACCCACGGATATTGGATTCGGTTCGGGTAGAGAGATTTAGGACCCATTCGGATATTTTTAAAAATTGGTTCGGGTTCGGTTTGGTTATTTTTTTGGGTATTCGGTTCCGGGTATTTTGCCCAGGCCTATCGAGCAGGTTTATGTTTACAATAAAGGATCGTACGTTTATAAACGAATACTTTTGTAACATATTAGGTTATAAAGTAGAGATGTTCTACACTCTTTGTTTATTGTTCTAGTCTGTTGTGTTCCTTGTGTGATTTATTCAGTAACAAGGCAATATATCGCTTGTCTTTTGCTTCAAGTGACAATTTTGCTTATGTGTTTTCCAATTGCTATTATGTGACAGAAGTCTTTGACTTAACCTTATATTATATCTTATATAAGGAATTGAAGTTGAAGGATGGAGGAAATCATCAGTGTCTTCAAACCAATATAATAAGAGTGAGTTTGGTTCAAAAAAATGTTTGTTTCAACAGATTCACAGTTATATGCTTCTCTTACAAGCATGACCTGAACAAAGAAACTTCTAGCCTTTCTACCATGTTTCGATAGAGTAGCTAATTCGGGCAATATATCCAACATATATAACTCTGTAACGTGACATACAAAAAGTTACACGAAATCTTGACCCTTACTGTTACCGCTCCTGTTTTACTTTCAGTCACTCTTTCTTTTTTCCACAGCATTGGTTTCTTCTGATGTCTCAAAAGTTGGCCAACCCCACAATCTTTTTCTCAGACAGTGTAGTTAGTTTTTTTTGGTGAATGGTATCTATCCATCAGTCAAATGAGTCAGTCTAAGATTCAAGATATTGATCCTACCATATCATATTAGAATCCACGTGGCGCAAGCCAAGGCAGGGCTTAGAGGAGGGGTCCCTTACTTCATATGGCTTGTGACGTTGTTTTCCCAAAAAGTGGTTCCACTTTGTTGAGACTTTCAAGCTCAACCATTAAGACTCTGCTCTTCTTCTTCTTCTACTACTTCTGGTTCCTAAACCTTGTCTGCTCAAGTTCTAAGTCATTTAGATGTCTTTTCGTGTTATCTTAAGTCCTTTTCTTCCCCGTGTTTGTTACTTACTTTCTATCTAGTGCAGTTGGTGAGGAAATGGCTCCACTTACCACGTGAAGATAGCTTGAAGATAACACTTTTTCTATGTTTTATATAACCCTCAATATACAATAACTCACTTGTCGCTATCGTTTGAAATACTTGGGACTTTGATGCTTAATCATTTCTTGTTCTGAATGACTTATCTTAATCCTAAGATGGAGATTTCAAAGATTTTTACTTGCTAGTTCATTGAACTTAATTGCACAAAGGCTCTATACTTTGAATCTTGTTGATAAATTTTGCCTCATTTATTTCACTGTTCTTTTAGAAAAGCACTTACACAGCATATCTTCTAAAGTGTCCCTACTCCTTCAGAAATTGTTCTACGAGGTACTTATTATTCCATTTTTATAATATTATTCCCTCATTTTACTAGTTTCGTTTGTGCCCACTAACACACAAGCTTAGCTTTAAATTACTCGTTCACATATGATATGATCATTGTTTTTATCCTATTTTTAAGCCTAATCTAATAGTTTCATCACCTTAATTATAGACAAAACTTGTTATATGGGGTGTAACATTATGCCTCTGAAATGATTGTGTTACAAACTTTATGCAAATGCTTATCTATTTGGCTGTTTCTCCATAATAAGGGTCCAGAGGAGACTGATTTGTCACAAACTGATTGAGTCTCTAAGACATTAGAACAGTTCCTGAGTTGTTGAAGAAGACTCTCTAATGGTGTGTAGAGATATGTAGCTTTCTTAGTGATGTAAGAGTTTCTCAAATCTTGAAGCTGCGCATGCAGAAGATGGTCATTGTCACTTGGCCTTGGCCTTCGTTTCCTTTTCAAACCTTTTTTTCCCCTCTACATCCAAAATTCAAACTTGTGAAAGGGAAAGTGTCTGCCACATGTGATATATATTACTAAAAAAATCTCAGTTGTTGTTTTCATATACCCCTTCATGACTAGTTGCAGCACATAAGTGTCAAGGTTCTCTCTTCATTAAATAGAATGATCGAATACTTTAGTATTGACAATGAAGATTAATAAAATAGCTAGCAAAGAGGTGACTTATTAAATACTTTTACACGATTCATTTAACTGTTACAAGACGTGTAATTGCTTTATGTTACATGCAATTTTAATTATCAAAGAGGTTTTAGGCAAATTAAATTTTGTTACATAATTGTGTTCAAAACACCTGAATTTACCCCCTACCATATTATTTATCTATGTAGATATGTAATTTATTCAAAAAATTTTATATTTTTGTCATGTGTGATATATTATTTTAGTTTTACAAATATTATTATTTGATGCCTTAAACGTTGGTATATTCATCCCTAGGAATACCTAATAAGCATATTCTAAATTGTACATTTATTAAAGGGATTATTACGAATTTTACTATCTTGCCTCAAATCTTACGGATTTGCCATTATTAAATATTTTTATGATTTTTTTTTGCTACATACTTTATAACAAATACCGTAAGAACAAATGAAACCAACTAAACACAAATATAACGGGTAAAACATATGTAATATCCTGAAAATAGTAAATCCATAAGATTTTAATCTAAATGGTAAAATCCATAAATATCACTAAAAAAGTGGCAAATTCATAACTGATTTTTTTTATTAAAACACTTTTTTTGATAAAATACTTTTTTTTTATCCTTAGCAGTAATAATAAGTCGCATAACTTTCATTTACTTAATTTCAATATTCCCTAGTGTGAAGTAATTCACTATTACTATTATTAGTGATGGAAGTTTCCAGTAATTTTGAAATTTATTCTGTCAATTATCTGGTAAGAAAAATAGGTGTATCTATTGATTTGACTAGTAATATTAAACCAGTAGACTACAACCATTTGGCCATGAAATATGAAGTTGTAACTTTAAGATATACAATTATTATAACTTAACTTTGCAAGATACTTTATCAAATTTGTTTATAATTTTCCCCCACAAGTCATACCACTATGAAAATTCAGGATGGAGCCCATTAGATTTGTAATCCCGACCACATAATATGATTTAGGAAGAGATTATGTGTATTATTGAAATTTAATCTCTTCGGATCCAAATATATTTCCCCAAGGGGAAAAATATCATAATAAGATGAAGAATGGAGTTTGTTTGTCTCATCATGCTTTTGACAACAATGATCTTATGACAAATATCATAAGGAACACTAATTATAACTCTACAACTATAATTTTTATAGACACTTATATAATATGTGTGACTATTGTAGTAGTTTTTTTAAACATATATTTACATTTGTAAATTTGTAATGTCATAAACCTCTAATCCTTATTTTTATTTGCGTTCAAATATACCTTGTATGGAAACCTTATAAATCGTGGATTATATAGTCTAGAAATGAACGTGCCATGACAAGTTCAAAACCATGTATTCATGTCGATCCTCGACCTCGAAAATTGGATTTATATAGCCCTAATATGTTGGTATGGATCCACACTCGAAAATTGGATTTATAACCCTAAGATGTTGATAAAAACATAATAAAAGAGCTATTCATCCCGAAGAAAAGAGAAAAAGGTGATTAGATATATAATATGATGCGTTGCACTAAAACCACATAATTTATTAATTAATATATAAAAGCATTCTTTTGTTCACACAATTGGTCTTCTTTTGGTTTCTTGATCCTCCAACAAAACAATCAAATGCTATAGTTTTTTGCCTATGAATATCTTATTAAGAAAAGGACAAGTGCTATGTTTATATATGATTTTTAATAAATAAATGATCGTTTAGATATTCGGAACAAATCTTAATGAATGGTTCTCGCGCTCAGAAAAAGGTTTTGTGGAGTAGCAGTATAGTTGTTGTTGATTACTCCTATGGGGCTAAGGTTCTACAGTGATAATAGCATCGAAAAAAAAAGAAAACCAATCATATCTGTTTAAATAAAAACCTACTCTTTCTCACAAATCTTTATCAAAATTCGTTAGTGTTTTCACTTTACATTTTTGCTAGACTATTATATGAAAAACTGAAAAAATCTTCTATACACCAAAAGTGGAATCTTTTTTGAAAATTTTGTTTCTCATGTAAACACAAATGTAAATCCGGTAACTACGACCTTATAAATATGCCCTAGCTAGCTAGCTAGGGTGGTTCATGAAAGGTTTGGCCAATGCGACTCATTATATTCCTCAAGAAAATCATCCCTAGATATTTAAATTAAATTATAAGATTGTTTTCTAAACGAATTAATTGTGTCCCAATATTTGGATGTATACAACTTAAAAGAAAGTAGAAAAGAAAGGTTATACATATATAGTGAATGTTATGAACATTTTGAGCTAAATTCTAACATGCTAAAACACATTCATTAATAGACAAACTAATATGTTTTCTTCCCCTAAATAGACACATAATTTGTCTTCTTACCCTAAATAGTAACTTGACAACTTTAGATAGGTAAAAAGCATATGTTGATGATTTGCTTGTAGGATTCTTTGCATTAATTAACCAAAACCAAATGAAATAAGAATTAAAATACTATGACTTTGGTGATAGGGTCGACAACACAATTTTTTTTTTCCTTCACGGGTGATAATACAACACAAGCTATATATATAGCCAATTGGTAAGTAGGTTCAAAAACCAAAAGATAAAATTTTAAAACTTTTGAGAGAAAAATTGGAGGGGCATGAAGACATAGTTTTCTGAAACGAAAGAAAGATAATAACCCATCACTGCAGAAAAAGGTATCTCTAAAATAATTGAAGACAATTGAAACCTAATGTCAACGAACTAGCCAATGAGCTCAACTCCACAAATCACCACCTCGACATTCTATCTTGGGACCATTTCTTTCTCTCTCTCTCTATCTATAATATCAATAACTTGAAATTGAGATATCTAATTATTTACAATGGTGAAAGAGAAGAAAAATAAGATACATGTATCACATACACAGAGTAATGATTAAATATGTTTTGTGGAGTTTAACCTTATTTATGCGGCAATGGTGGCGGTTTAATATTTCATATTGTGCTCATAATGATGCTATCTAAACAGTCTTAGTGCCCAACTATCTACTTATTGCAATCTTCACGGCGATTTACCTGTGAAATTAGAAAAAGGAAAGGAAAAATAAATAAAGAAACTTTTAAGTGGAAAGTGACACTACAATGAGACCTGCAAAAACTCGACAAGTTTTAATAAATAACAAAAAAGAATTCACACACAGAACAATAAACCTTTACAAAGAAAAAAACCAACAACTTTGTGCCACTAAATCTATAGAATGTCAATAATGTTGCTGTACGGAAAGGGATTCACTTGGGGTCTACATAAATTCATGGTGTTCTTTGATGATGCATTGATTCTCTAGAACAAGAAATAGGAGATACATCATTCATATTAACCAAAATACTCGATCTTTTTATACGAAAACTAGACTAAAATGCTCTGTTATTAATATGTCTAATATAGAGGAAAGTGTATCTTACTTACTTACATGGGAAGAAAAAATTTTCTTCTGTGTATTTGTCCACTAGAGCGACCAAGGTATTGTGAGCTACGATTACAATAACAAAGGTGAATTAGCCAATGCCCCCAATAATTGGGACAATGTAATCATGAAAATATAAAAAACAATAAAGCAAACAGAAAATAGAATGTAACAATGAACAATTAAAAGGTGCTTCTTTAGTCATGAAAAAAGGAGTAATAATGTTTAGCCCACTGGTTTTCATTGCACACAAAGTCACATAAGACAGATACACGACGAAGGGTAGTTATTCACTGCAAATCTATTGACATCATTGGTCACTGTAAGCTTTTTGCTCTCATAGACTCCGTTGAGTCATTATATCCTAAGACTCTACTTGTTGGAATGCCACTTAATATTACTAATAAAGAAAGTAAAAGTAGAAGAAAGAATTGCACATATCAGTCTAAGAATTTCAACACTCCTATTCAAATAAGCAAATCAATACCTTTTATTTTCGCAATGCCTCCTTTATTCAAACTGTCACTCCACATTACCATCTTCTTCAGCCTTTGCTTCCATTTTTCCCGACTATGTAAGCGAGGCCCCTACATCTTTCAATCACACAACAAACAGAACATGACGCTATTGGAAGAAACAACACATCCCACAAAGTTAATACTATACATACATCATATCTTCTATGTTTATTTATTGCAAGTAGCACAAAGTGGTATCTATTTTTCTGTACATCTTTTTATGAATTTTCCTTTTTTTTTAATGATAATGCTGAGCAAAGAACACATATCACCTCCAACTAAGATCTAATTTACTGGAGAAGAAATATCATGACAAGTCCTTACTTGGTCTTTTAGGACCACCAATAAGAACATCAAACTTTTATATGCCCTGTTCAATATGTCATGCTGAAAGTTGAGACTTTTGTACTGAGATAACGCAAAGTGCTTCCACATGCAGCTGTGGTACTTTTTTCCTTTCTTAAGCAATAAATGGCAAGAGAGGATACACATGAACAGCACCAGGGAGACCTAAAATATGTATACACAACACGATTATTTTTTTCTCTTAAGATCATGAAAAAAGGAATGCTTGGTTATAACATGTGTTTAGGACAGCTCTGTATCCATCCTGCAAAGAAGAGTAGCCGATGCTGATGTTTGGTCTTAAAGGGGTAACTTACTTCCAAGCTTTAGAGTCAAATTTAAATACTGCAAGAACTGACAGGATCAAGTGATGCAAAATGGTCCCAATAAGCATGATCCAATGAGGTTACCAGACTGGGTGTAGAGGGTGGTGGGCAAGATTGTCTTCTCTTAAACTGAGCTCAAGTACCATGAGACCCAAGTAGGGGCCCTAGTGTACATGCTCTGACAGTAAGCCTAGCCAAAAGACAAAATAATAACAAGAAATAACTATGCAGTAAAACAAAGTTTTTACCTATTATGCAGGAAATCGTGGCAGGAAGAGAATGTATGTACCCGGGATGTGAATTATTAACCTACCATAAAAATAGAAGTTAGAAATACTTTTCTAGTAACTTTCATACTATATAATATGCAAAATGTATATACAATGTCACAAAGATATCTACTTTGCAGCAAGAGACAAAAAGTAATGGCAACCCAGCTATATAGTGAACACAAGTATATGACTGTACCGCCCAAAACCTTTCCTTTAAATTCCCCTTTCTACCTCAATTTTTTTCTGAGAGTACTCTTAACCTCAACTTTACCTCTACTTCCCTCATACCATTCCGCCTCTTTGCAATTTCTCTCAAGAAAGTAGAAATGGGATTGACCTCATCCTTACGGTTCCATAGACGAAACAACAAGACTTTCCTCAGAATCTTCATGATCTTGGTTCTAAGCTGTATACCAGGTAGAACCAATCTTTGTTCCAATCATTCTGTTAGTACCCCGAAAGAATTACCTCCTTCAAATCCTCCAGATATTCGTTCTTCCTTAGTTTCACTAGATTTGGAGGGTTGCATAAGCTTTGACGATGTCCACAATGTGGCCAAGGACTTTGGCAACAGATACCAGTTACCACCTTTGGCAATTCTACATCCAAGGTCTGTTTCTGATATTTCATCGATGATGAAGCATATAGTACATCTGGGCTCCACCTCAAATCTCACAGTAGCAGCCAGAGGCCATGGTCACTCGCTTCAAGGACAATCTCTAGCTCATCAAGGTGTTGTCATCAAAATGGAGTCACTTAGAAGTCCTGATATCAGGATTTACAAGGGGAAGCAACCGTATGTTGATGTCTCAGGTGGTGAACTATGGATCAACATTCTACGGGAGACTCTAAAATACGGTCTTTCACCAAAGTCCTGGACAGACTACCTTCATCTGACCGTTGGAGGTACTCTATCTAACGCTGGAATCAGTGGTCAAGCCTTCAAGCATGGACCCCAAATCAACAACGTCTACCAGCTAGAGATTGTTACAGGTATTTCGTTCATGCTCTATCTCTGTGGTAGTCTCAACAAAGTATGCACCTGTAAAGAATATTTTTTGACTCTAAAACATTGAAGACATAAATATTTTTGACTCTAAAACATTGAAGACATAAATATTTTTGACTCTAAAACAAGAGTGCATAGGCAAAAATGTGAAACATGCAACGCACACTTATAACTTGCACCAAGAAAAAAGTTATATCAACAAAACAACTGATAAGCAATATATTTCCAATACTGAAACAGGGAAAGGAGAAGTCGTAACCTGTTCTGAGAAGAAGAATTCTGAACTTTTCTTCAGTGTTCTTGGCGGGCTTGGACAGTTTGGCATAATCACTCGGGCACGGATCTCTCTTGAACCAGCACCGCAAATGGTAAAGTTCTATCTTGAGCAAAGTTCAAACTATGATGCTAAGAACCAGTTTCCTGACACAGTCAAATGACTTTTAATAGGTTAAATGGATCAGGGTACTCTACTCTGATTTTTCTGCATTTTCAAGGGACCAAGAACATCTGATTTCGAAGGAGAAAACTTTTGATTACGTTGAAGGATTTGTGATAATCAATAGAACAGACCTCCTCAATAATTGGAGATCGTCATTCAGTCCCAACGATTCCACACAGGCAAGCAGATTCAAGTCAGATGGAAAAACTCTTTATTGCCTAGAAGTGGTCAAATATTTCAACCCAGAAGAAGCTAACTCTATGCATCAGGTAAGATTCAAAAGCAATATATAATGAGACTTAGTTTCTACAGAGAGCTCCAGATCAACCGTTGGTTGCTAACATAATGAATGGTTGCCCTGCAGGAAACCGGCAAGTTACTTTCAGAGTTAAATTATATTCCATCCACTTTGTTTTCATCTGAAGTGCCATATATCGAGTTTCTGGATCGCGTGCATATCGCAGAGAGAAAACTGAGAGCAAAGGGTTTATGGGAGGTTCCACATCCCTGGCTGAATCTCCTGATTCCCAAGCGCAACATATTTCAATTTGCTACAGAAGTTTTCAACAACATTCTCACAAGCAACAATAACGGCCCTATCCTTATATATCCAGTCAATCAATCCAAGTAAGTGAGCAAAATGCCAAAAGAAAATGCTTCCAATGACTCTGAAACATAAAATTACTAACCATATCCAACATTTTATGGTTGCAGGTGGAACAAACATACGTCTTTGATAACTCCAAATGAAGATATCTTCTATCTCGTGGCCTTTCTCCCCTCTGCAGTGCCAAATTCCTCAGGGAAAAACGATTTAGAGCACCTTTTGAAACAAAACCAAAGAGTTATTAGCTTCTGTGGAGCAGCAAACCTCAACGTGAAGCAGTATTTGCCTCATTATGAAACCCAACAAGAGTGGAAATCACACTTTGGCAATAGATGGGAAACATTTGCACAGAGGAAACATGCCTACGACCCTCAAGGGATTCTAGCCCCTGGGCAGAGAATATTCCAAAAGACAACAAGACAATTATCTCCCATACAACTCTCAAAGTCAAAGGCAACAGGAAGTCCTCAAAGGTACCACTAGAGAGAGCATCAATATACTGCCAAAACCTAGAACTGTATAAAAGTTTCCTGTGTCCTTGTAACGGCTCAGGCTAGGCAGCAAGAGAGTGAAAAAATTCTTTCTTTTTTTTCGTTTCTTTTGGTGAACAACAAATTTTACGCAGTGTATAGGATCTCCATAAAATCCTACGCAGTGTCATTACATTTGTCGTTATGGCAAGAGATGGTCCAAAAAATCAAAAACATCATTTTTATATGTACTCTAAGCAAAAAAATTACAATAGCTTGAAAAATCTACCTTGAAGAATCGATTCTCTATCGAGTTCACGAGCCGCTGGAGAATACGAATCTCCATCCTTATTGTACTGCCACAACTACGATTATCCCAATTTGTCTTGAAGATGGCAGAAATTTGGCGCCTTTCCGCCATGAATAGTCCCGAAGAGCATAGAAGCAAGCTTTTTTTTTTTTCTCTCTTCAAATTTCACTTCGTTTGTCACACGTGTGAAGCAATAATACACACGTGTATGTATATATTTTTTACTTATTTTATTTTATTTTTTTCGTGGGCGGTCTTGCGAAGCAAAGGCTCCTGAAGAAAAATGGCGCAACAAAGTTTATTTATTACATAAATTACTTCTTCTTCTTCTTCGTTGGTAATAAGCAAATCCCAAAAACCCTAACGTTACTGTGTAGAAAGCTATATACATTCCCTTACTTCAACTCAGCACGCAAGAGCAGATTCGTTTTCCCCAGAGATTCCTTTCCTAAAGCCCTAAAGTTTCGATTTTGATTTTGAAAGAATCGAATTTTTGGATGTCTCCTGCGGCGGTGGAGATTGGGTCTCCGGTTGAAAAAGTCTCTTCTTTCCTAAACCCTACGGATAATTTCTCTGCATTTTTCCCGGAGAGTGTTAACTCTCACGATCATAGAACTAGGGACTCTTCGTTCTCCTTCGGATTTGGAGCTGGTTCAGGACAAACGACGAAGACTCGACAAAAGCCGAGGCTGGTGAAATTGAGGAAGAACGGAAGAGAGGTGAAAAGACCCTCTTTTTCCGGCGAGATCCTCTCCGGTTTCAACCCGTTTGCGCCGCCAAGTAAAGGTAAGTTCTTCTGTTGCATTTGTGCCGAATTTGATTTCGTTACAGATCCAGTTTTTTATACTTTCTGAGCTGATTGGTTTAGATTGTTTCTGTAGGTAGTCTTCATATGAACAGTGGGAATGATAGAGCTGCTGGCGAATCACCTGGGGGTAAATGTTTCGTCTTTGGAGCTAGTGGGAACAGTTCTGGTGCAACAGCTAGTCCAGGTAATGCCACAATAGCTTCTTTGTCTGATGAAGATGAGTTTAGTACACCTATAGGGGACTCTGAGTTGGATTCGGAATCCATTAAAGACCATTCACATGGAGTTATGGGAAAGGTATATAATGATCGGGAAAACATCAGACCATGTAGTGAGAGCACAACTTGTGATGCGACAAATGGAGTTAAGCTTGATCGTGGTGTAAACGGAAGCTGGAAAAGTGTTGAGAATCCAGATGCTGTCAAGGAGTTTTTTCGAAGACAGTATGACATGGACAAGAAATCAGCGAGTAAATCTTGCAGCAAGTCTAACAGTGTACAATATGCTGATGGTAAAACTGTCGATCATAGGGATGGTCTTGAATTGAACCTGCTTGCTGACATGGAGAAGCTTAATATCAGTGATTCCAGAGTTCATGGGGGTAGCGACTATGAGGAAGCAAGCAAATCTAATAACACACCTGTATTTACTTTTAGTAGCTTTGGAAAGGTTGATCCTAAATGTAAAGAAGGTGCGTCGACATCAAGGCCATACTCTTTCAGTTCCAATGGTTTTCACCAAAGTAATAATGCAGCGGATGAGAAACCCACTTTTCATTCCAAGACCACCTACGTAAACAACTTAACAAACACTAGCTTTGGTACAAAAACATCCTTTGATGATTTCAAAGTACCTGAATGGGATCCTTCGTTGCTTAAGAGAAGTCTATTTCCGGAAGTAAACAGAAATCCAGTACTTGCACGAAGTAATCGTTCGTCCAAGGACAAGAGATCAAAGAAAGTCATGGAAAAAATAAAACAGCGTAAGCAAGATCGATGCAACGATCAGACTGCTGAGGGAATTGAGGCTCAGGAAAAACTCAATTCCCCTGGATATTGCTCACCCATGGATTATTCTCCTTATCAAGGTGAGACAGCCAGCAATCAACTTCCAACAGAAACTCCTCTGACACCCTCACATTCAAGAGAACCCTCAGCCAGGGATTCATTTCTCTTTACGGCAGAGGATCATGGGAGTAGTTGTATGCCGAATTTTTCTTTCTCAGCGTCCACCTCTCAGGGAACAATACCACATAAAAAGCTTCAAGCTGTAAAGAAATATAGGAGGAAAGTTAATAACAGTGTGCCCAAAAACAATCTTAATACCACCATGCGAAACAATGAAGAAAATCAACGTGTGAATACAGGTCAATCCAAACAGGACTCAGGCTCTACGTCGATGATGCCTGATGTCTGTGAGGTTTGGCGACTAAGGTATCATATACTAACTCAAGAGCTCCATCATTGGCGCTTTTTGAATATTTTCTTTCTGAGAATTGAGAGAAGTAATTGTTTGTATCAGGGGAAATCAAGCCTACAAAAATGGTAATATGTGTAAAGCTGAGGAATGTTACACACACGGTATTAGTTCTTCCCCGTCAAATGATAATTCAGAATACTCTGTGAAGCCTCTTGCGCTTTGCTATGGTAACCGCGCCGCAGCACGGATTTCTCTTGGAAGATTGAGGGAGGCTATAAGCGACTGTGAGATGGCTGCCTCACTTGATCCAAGCTACATTAAAGCGTATACGAGAGCTGCAAAGTAAGTTTAAGTCGTACTTTTCCAGAGTTGTTTTGTTGTGATTCATATGAATCATATCTGTTGACTAACGGAACTTAGGTTATGTCCAGAAATTATTGTATCGCCTGAGTCAAGTTGTCCTTTTTTTTTTTGCTTAAGCTTTATAGCTTGAATTTAGTAGATCCCGCCTGCTAAGGTTTTAGATACGAACTTTCCTGAAGTGGCCAAGGAAGTTTATATCTTAGAAATAAAATTCACACTCTGAATCTGGTAAATCAATGATGATGTTATTTAATTGAATTTGATGTATTCATATTTTCTTCTATGTTTGCTTTAGTTGTCATCTTGTGCTGGGGGAACTTGGAGCAGCAGTGCAGTATTTTAATAAATGCCTGGAATCCACCTCTAGTGTCTGCTTGGATCGACGAACTACTATAGAAGCAGCTGAAGGTTTACAACGGGCTCAAGTATGCATTCTCTTCTCAGATATATCACTGTTCTACCATGGTCTAATCAAAATAGTTTTATACTTTATTAGTTAGGATATGATTCGGATGTTGATTTAGCCAACAATGTGCTGAATCAGCACATAGTTCTGATAATGTCTAATTGAACACATTTTTATTTTACTTACCTGCAGAGGGTAGCTGACTTTACCAGCTGCGCATCCAATTTTTTGGAAAAGAGAACACCCGATGGCGCATCTGACGCATTGGTTCCAATTGCCAATGCCTTAACAATTAGTTCATGCTCAGATAAATTGCTTCAAATGAAGGCCGAGGCCCTATTTATGGTGAGTAGCCTTTCGTTTTCACTTCTCAGAAATTGAATATTGCTTTCAGTGGGCATGATCTTCTATGTCAATCTTGCAGATCCGACGATATAAAGAAGTGATCGAGCTGTGTGAGAATACCCTTCAGACGGCTGAGAGGAATTTTGTTTCAGCAGGGCTTAGTGGGACGACAAATGTTGATGGATTAGGGTCTACATATCACTCGCTAATAGTTTGGAGATGGAACATGATTTCCAAGTCGCACTTCTACTTGGGAAACCTTGAGAAGGCCCTTGATATATCAGAAAAGTTACAGCAAGTGGGATATACCTGCAATGAGTAAACACTTTTTCTATGTTGGGAAACAATGAATTTATTGTTATGTATGCATTATCTTCATTTGTTATCCTAGCTGAAAATGTATGTTTTGCTCCCTAGGAATCATGAAGAGTGTCGTGAGTCACCAGCTTCTTTAGTGGCCACCATTTCTGAACTCTTACGTTACAAGGTATGCTCTATGATGGAACTTAGGGATTCTTCATATTTTTGTGTGGTATATGTTGTCTTTAACATCAACAGGTCTGATACAATCATTCGTTATGCTTCTTTGCTAAATAAAGATATTTTTTTCTGCTTTGATTCCATTTACCAAAGTTTTATTCTGTGATTGCAGAACACAGGTAATGAAGCTGTTCGGGACAGAAAGTATATGGAAGCAGTAGAGCAGTATACTGCTGCACTATCAAGAAATGTTGACTCACGCCCGTTTGCAGCAATTTGCTTTTGCAATCGTGCGGCTGCTAATCAGGCCCTAGTCCAAATTGCCGATGCAATTGCCGACTGTAGTCTTGCCATGGCTCTTGATGAAAACTACACAAAGGTATATCGTAATATTTTTGCTTTTTACTTGTGAACATGCACACATGAACCTTCCTCTGAGCTAAAACTGAATGCTTATAAACTTTTGTATTGGAATTGCTATAGGCAGGTGCATTAAGATTCGTTTGTGGAATACCCATCTTCCTAAAACAATATTTTCGTCTACTCATAAATAAGCAAATATTATAGATCTTTCATTTTCTCAAATAAGAACATTTCTGCTTAGCTGTATAGAGCTTCTTCCGAGATTTTTCTCACATCTGAGATGGATAGTAATAATACTACATAAACAGGGAGCATATATAATATATTTTCTTGAAATGTGGCAAGGACAAGCAGCATGTAACCATGGCTTGCTAAGAATTAGGTTTCATTAAAAAATTAACCCGACTTGTCCTTCCATTTTCAGGCAGTTTCCAGGAGAGCCACATTACATGAGATGATCAGAGATTATGATCAAGCAGCTAGTGATCTCCAGAGGCTTATCAGCATTCTCGTAAAGCAAAGTGATAAGACAAAAACGCCAGAGATTTCTGTTGATCGTGCAAGCAGCAGGAAAGAACTAAAGCAGGCCCGTCAACGGTTGTCTGTGATGGAAGAAAAATCTAAAGAAGGCAATCCTCTGGATTTCTTCCTCATCATGTATGCTCACATTTTACAAAGTCATTTATGCAATTCTTATTATTGGAGACCTGGCTATAGTTTATGTTATGCATATATCTAGTAGAATTGTATGCTGATATCAAGGCTATCTTCTATTCTCGTTTTGCTAATTTGCAGGGGAGTGAAGACATCTGACTCTGCTGCTGATATCAAAAAGGCATACCGCAAAGCAGCTCTTAGACATCACCCAGACAAGGTAATCTG